CTGTTCTTCTCACCGCCACCCACGCCTCTTCTTCACAAGTGAAGTCTTCGACATCGAAAGGGCACCATAAGTCTAATTCTCATCCTTCTCCTTCAACTTCAAATTCTCCAATAATGGAGTCACTGCAAAACTTGTTCTCATCCAAGGAAAAGTAACTTGTTCTCATCCAAGGAAAAGTTCTTACGCCTTCTGGTGATTGTCGTGAATGCTTTCAAGACCGCAACTTCGTATTGAAAATGTGTGTTCAATACAAGGCTTGCATCCAACTTAAAATCAATTGCAATAGGTAAAGTATCCCTTCTTATATTTAATCCACAAATTTCTTATTTTTATACTTGACGTGAGATTTTCTCACTTAACACGTCCCTTACGTGCAGATCCGCTATAAATGTTGGGTCCTATCAGGTGGGTTAACACACCCCTTTAAATGCAGACCGGTACCTTCAGGTACATGTCATTAAAAGAAACAGGAAAAATGGCACGTTGACTGAGTTGATGGCCTTAATAACGGAGTAATTAAAATTATGCAGTATATAAAGTTGTGGATTAAAAAGTGTATAATATAGTTAAAGAATAAAAATTATATAAAATTCACATTTAACATTTTCTAAATCTGCTCCCCTCATGGCTGACGATGGCTCTAGAGGGCTGGCTTTGTTTAGGATCTCAAAGGTGTGGTTTGGTCAACAACTCCCGTGAAACACGGCAGTCGAGTACTCCTACTCCATATTAAAGTAAACAAAACTTGTCCGAAGGGAATTGGAATCAAAATTCAACGACAGTGACGGAGAAGGCCGTAACATCCCCAATTTTCTTCTTCATCAGACTTCATACGTTGTAGAATAAAAAAGGCAAGAGTGGGGACAATCAGGCTGATCTGAACTAGCAATGGCGTGGATAACACGATTCCTAGCAGCGTTGGCTTTCTTCGCCATGGGAGTAATCTTCTCTCCGGAGACCTTCGGATCAAAATCAGACGGTGAGGGTTCACTGAAGCTGTCCACCTTAGTGAAGCTGGTTCATCTCCTTAGCTTCTCCATAGCTTGGGGCTCGGCTCTCTGGGTCACTTTCATCGCCGGTGTCATTATGTTCAAGTAACATGCACATCTTCCTCTCCTCTTCCCAAAAGATTTTAATTCATTAGAAGCTTAATTGGCTATCTCTTTTAAGTTGGGGTTCTCTGTTAATTAGGAATATGCCAAGGCATCAGTTTGGAAATTTGCAAAGCAAGATGTTCCCGGCGTATTTCTCGATGGTGGGGATCTGTTGTGCCATTTCGGTGGCGTCCTTTGGTTATCTGCATCCATGGAAGTCTTCATCTACAGCAGAGAAGTACCAGCTTGGGTTTCTAGCAGCGGCCCTTACTTTTAATCTCATCAATCTGTTTGTTTTTTCACCTATGACCCTCGAGGTAATTTTCTTCTAGTCCTTGGCACTTCACCTCTATTCGTTTGTGAATTGCTATAAATATATATATATATATATATGCCATGATACAACAGATTTTTTCCTCTCTTCTAGATATCTGTTGCTTATACATATGGTTGACTCTTGCATTAATTTTTTTTGGCATTTCATGGTAGATGATGAAGCAAAGGCATAAGGTGGAGAAAGAAGAACATAGCATTGGTGATGAAATTGGGTGGTCAAAGAACAAGGAAGTTGCAAAAGTGAATCCAAAGCTTGCGGCAATGAATAAGAAATTTGGAATGATCCACGGGCTATCTTCCCTAGCTAATATAATGGCATATGGAAGCCTTGGCATGCACTCTTGGTACTTGGCTAGTAAACTCAACCTTTAACTTGGATTCTCTGTTGTCTTTTCCAGGGCAATATTTACATATTTATC